GAGAGAGAGAGAGAGAGAGAGAGAGAGAGAGAGAGAGAGAGAGAGAGAAGCGAGGAGGGGAAGGAGTAAAATGAGGGGGTGGAGGTGAGGGAACCATTGGAGGAGAGATGGTGGAAGAGAAAAAGGGAGAAAAGGAATAAATATGGGAAGAAAGAAACCTGGGAGAAATAGAAGGAAAAAACGAATGAAGGAGAGAAAGAAGAGACATTCAGTATAACCTAATATAGATGCGATGATTTATTCCAGGGTTATGACACAATGGTGGGTGACAAAGGCGCTCTTATATCAGGAGGACAAAAACAGAGAATTGCCATTGCACGAGCATTGGTTCGTGATCCTAAAATACTTTTACTGGATGAAGCAACTTCAGCCTTGGATACGGAGAGTGAAAAGGTGAAACTGATGCTACTTGTTGAAATATTTATTCAAGACATGTCTTCTGGATTTTCTAATAATCTATACAGTGAACGAGATAGTACAGTGCATAGTGGTGAAAGGTGGTTATTTGGGTAACTAAATTGTTCACTCTATGTGTTTGGTGGCAACAACAAACTGCTCACTCGAATAAGTGTCAATACATTTGAGGTTAGGTTACCGTCAACCCATAATAGATAGCTTAAGATCTACGACGTCGACGTCAGCTAGGACGTCAGGGCTAAGCAGAGGACTGGGACTACATTAGGACGACATCCTAGTCCCAGTCCTCTACATAGCCCTGACGTCCTAGCTGACGTCGACGTTGTAGATCTTAAGCTATCTAATGTCTTTTTACAGGTTGTGCAGCAAGCCTTGGACAACGCAAGTGTTGGTCGAACAACATTGGTAATAGCACATCGTCTGTCAACCATTCAACATGCGGACTGTATTGTTGTAATCAGACGAGGTCGGGCTGTAGAACGTGGAACTCATGAACAACTTTTAGCTATGAAAGGAATTTATTATGCTTTACATAATGTACAATCCATGTCTCAGAAGTAGATCTTTCAGGAAGACTACAAGAACATGTTGGTCGTATGGTATGCCTGTATCATAAACACGAAGGCTTTTTTAGACCCCTTAACAAGTTTTCACTGCAAAATTCTCTTGAAAAAGTTTTCTGTGACGAGTTTTCCTAATGCATGACTCCAGCTACAGACTAAATTTTGATCCGGGCAAGAAGAACAAAATCCATCACCACAGCTAGAAAGAGCATGTTAAAATGAGTAAAATTACAAAGTTTGTTTGCGAAATGTTGTAAAGTGAGGAAAATATAGCCCTGCGAAATTTGCAAATTTTGTATTAATTTGTATTACGCAATGCACCACACGGGAAAATGCACCACATTTGGGCCAAAAGTGGTGCATTTTTCCGCTGTGATGATCGATTTTGTTCTTCTTGAATAGATCAAAATTTAATCTATAGCTGGAATTGCCTATACAGTGAGAGCTATTATTACTCTCGCTCTCCGTTTTGACCTGCGACTCTCATACACTTCCTTCGTTCTTTTGGGCCTGCTGAGACCTGCTGATATGAGCCTACCCTGGATTCCAGAGCCTCTGACAGTGAATAATAAATTGAAATGTCGCGAAGGCTCTGGTTCAACGGGGCGATTCTTTGATTAAACCGCGCCAATCACAAAACAGAATTAGTGGTTTTAGTACAGATTCTGTAATATGAGCCCGGTTTGTCGAGAAGTTCACGTGAGACATTAGGGAGCTTAAGATCTACAACGCGAATTTGTGACGCGGACGTGCTTACCGAAGCCTAGTTTTCGCGTGTAAGCCTAGTCAGAGTTGTCAGAGTTTATTTCTTTGAGATTTGTGACACTGTGATGACACGTTAACAGCCATATGAAATGATAGAAACCAGGCTTTATAGACTATTGTTACGAATGCACATTTTCCCGCCAAAACTACCATCCGAGACGACGTGATATTTGCAAAGATTCGTCGTCATAGAAGTCGTAAAAACTTATGATAAAAAATATCTTCTTAATATATTGCTAGCCTCTGTTATGTTGTACATTTTTTCCAGTATAATTTCATTTTATTTACTGTGATACAAATATTTTAATGGAATTTGCCATCGTTTTAAAATAAAACTTGTTTAATGCGACGTCCGCGTCGTAAGTTCGCGTTGTAGATCTTAAGCTCGCTAGTATGTAAATATGGCGATTTGGGGACTAAGGGCTACGTTTTATACAAGGGCTACGTTTTATAGGTTTCCGTAGAGGCGCGAAAAAGCACCTATCGATCCGTTACGGAATGTACAACTTTCAGAAGCGGAGGCGAAACAACATCTCTCCGTTGCAATAATTTCTCTGAAAATAGCGTTGGGTGTTTTTCACGTCGCTACGGAAAGCCGCCCAGTACAAGTGTAAACGTAGCCTAAGTTAACCTTTAAATTCAGCGCGCAGGATAAGTTATTAATCTTTTTTCGTTCCGATTGGACAGGAAATCGCTCTCACTTTTTAGGATTTACCCACCTATCTCCCTTCAACAGCAATACACGCCAGCTTGCAGTAGTTCTTCTGCTCCATGCCCAAGGTGAAAAAATCTCCCCAATATTATAATTCCTTGTAGCCAAGGGTATTGTTTGAATCCAAATCGGTGAGAATATATTACTAATGGTAGATTGTAACCTATGTCACAGATCAGTACATTAGCGGCCTGATTCTATGAGTGCTTTTTCCTGGCGAAATTCGTCTATCTGTCCGCATCCACGTTTTACCCTAACCCACAATGGTGACTGTGTTTGCCGATGGACATGGTATGTGAACCATAACGGAACAATTAAGCCTTTTTTTTCATTCTTAATCTCAACGAGAAAAGTCTAAAGAATTTCAATGTAGTTCGTTAAAGGCATACGTTTTGTGTAAAGTACTTTAAAACAAGTTAAACAACAGCCATACAGTACATTTCCGTCGCATCGTTTCATCAAGTGTTTTTGAAATTTGCAATTCAAATATGCTTAGAGTATGTCTACTGTCAGGAAATGAGCAGAGTAATATTTAGTTGTGTTAACTCATTACTTTAAGTTTAAGCCTTTATAATTTCTATAGATTCTATGCGATCCAAAGAGGACAAGGTCACTTCCCCAACCTCAGGAAAGTCTCGCTGAATATAATTATCTATAAAAGGCAGAAACAAAGGTATGTGCGTTTGGTAGCCAAACCGAGATCATTGGTTTTGTATCACTACGAATCGAGCACTTGATATTAATTTAGGCCCTACTCAAATGTACGGGACAAATCGAGGGTCAGGTCAAGGTGATCCGCAGTGTATACACACGGCTTAGACATTGGCAGCCACAGTACGTGGTTTCCATTTGATCAGTGCTGCTATCGTGGTCACCTATACCACCGAAGTGAAATAGTGTCCATCAATTCGAAACTATTTAGTCTCAAAGGCTACTTTCCCCGCGTTAAGCATTTTTCATATGGAAAAGTTTAAAACTGTGTTTCTGGCGTATGAAAATTACTGATGTGACGCCACAATTCCCACCAATTTAGGTGTGCTTTCACGGTAAAGAGTGATTTGAATACAGCATACGAAACACCTGACCCTGTAGGTTAACCTATAATATTCAAAGCAAACTTCCCATCCTATAACAGTTTGTTTATAAATTTCACATCATCGGCATAATTTGGTTACGACTTGAAGCAACATTTCCAATGGCAATGGTGGTTCCAGGTACAGACTAAATTTTGATCCAGCAGCTACAGACTAAATTTTGACAAGAACTGGACGAAATCTATCATTATAGTTGGAATTTTTCTTTGTCTTTTCTAATTAGTTCCACCCGAGAAATCACAAGACAAAGAAAAATTCCGCTCCGCGCGCAAAACTCCGCCTAGTGGAAAACGGCCTTGAGAAAAGAGAAATTCCGCTCCGCGCGGAAAATTCCGCCTAGTAGAAAACCGGCTTAAATTAGTAAAATCGCCAAATTTGGTCGCAAAGTGTTGTGGGGTAACCGCTGGAATATTCTTGGCTTCAATTTTACTAAAAGAGATGCGCTATCTAGTGTATATCAATCTCGTACCGCAGAGCAATACCTGTGCGCGGGCTAGGATGGCATTGGCTCTGGGGAAATTGACAACCGGAACCCCTAAATTTAGGGGTTCCGGTTCTTTGTCGGCATGCACGATTGATAAACGTTAAACCAATCACAGTACAGGAAAAATTCAATTTCCCCAGTGCCAATGCCACCCTAGCCCGCGCACAGGCATTGCTCTGGATACGAGATTGAGTGTATATAAGATATCTATGCTCGTATTACTTCAAATTTTATTTTTAATGATTTGAATTTTATTGCATATTTTTCAAGCTTGCCTGGTGTGATATACACTCAGAGTAACATCACAAACATCATATATTCACATAACACCAACACAGAACTGAAAAACTTTAACCTATTCATATGGTCGTAACGGTCGTAAAGATTGAGTCACTATCTTTCTCATCAGTCGGAATCCAACATTTTAGAACTGGAAATACTGATAAGCAGAGTGAAGTATAACTGTAGAGAATACTCCTGATTTATATGTGATTTGCAGGTTATAAACTACTTCACGTTGACTATACCATGTGACTCCACTATAATACGTGGTATATTAGCATAGCATGCATGAATAGTTGCCATGGCTATATATAGCTTTTCACCCTGGCTATATGGATTTCCACCAGCAAGAAAAATTTCGCTTTCCGGAAATTTTTCGCGCAATTTCTTTTGAAACATCAACATGTCATATGCATAGATATCTTATATACACTAGATAGTGCATCTAATTATTCTGCAATTCAAAAATTGAAGCCGTGATTGCAGTCTCAGGTCGTTCCCATGAAGTGAGAAGATTCGTATGTTTTCTATTTCTTAAACACGGAACTTAAACATGAAGTTAATCCTATGCCAAATACGTTTTTAAACTATTCAAATGATGAAAGTTATTGTTGTTTTTAAGCGTTTATTAGCAAGTGGGAACGACCAACATGGCCGCCATCTATTCAAATGGGGGTAACCGCTGGGATATTCTTGGCTTCAATTTTACTAAAAGAGATGCACTATCTAGTGTATATAAGATATCTATGCATGTCATATGCCATTCAGGAGTAATAATATACACTACAGTAGTTAACGCTAACCCATTAGTCATTATAAACTGCCTCCTCGCCCGACACGTATTTACAGAAACGTATTTCAAAGCCTCTTTGTTTTTGAAAGCCAGTCATGCCTTCGATATCAGTTGCATGAATTCCTTGAATTTCGAAAACTGGAACCACTTATAGTTGTCGACAACTAACCCATGCAAAGAATGGTCACAAAAATACTTTTAAAATAATTTTAGAGAAGCTCCACCATATGATTTAGAATTATTTACTGCACGTTGTACAGATACCAGGCGCCAGTGGATTAATTGGTGCATATTTACACTATAATATATTATTTGATATCAGTGATATTGATCATTTGAATGACAAGGAAAAATTATTTGAATAACAATTATTTAACTGCGTAAAATACTCAATCGCTTATGCACAGCGTCTGCTATTATTTACATTCCTTGGTGTCTTGAGATCCCGCGTTCAACGAAACAGAAAATTGAAAAGCTATTGAAATATACTTGTTTTCTTATTTTCAGTTCGACTCTCTCGAGTTTCTAGCGTAAAAAGAAACTAATTATGGCGAATGAGAAAACGCCTTTATTAAAATCTGGTGAGATTGGAGAACCACCTCCTGACGTTGCATTTGCACCTTCGGCAAAGTACGTAAATATGTTTACTTATTTCGTAATTATCATTCTTGTTATTAATAATGTTGTATCGATATCCAACAAGTGTACTAGTGTACACACTCTGCTCGGCAGGCAATCGTAGATATAGCAAACAGGTTATTATAAACACTGCCACGACTACAAGCAATTATAAATTTAATAAAAAATATGTATGAGGGGGGGTGGCAAGGGTATTTTCGTGACTCGTGATTAGCAAGTGATTAGCAATTTGTGATTTGAAGAAATACCATTCCGTGAATCGTGATTAATATGCGTGCCGTGAATCGTGAAGAGCTAAAAGGGCTAGCTAGGGTCTTGAATTTACCAATATTTTACTCTAACTTGTGAATGTTTACGTTTAAAACTCGGCCCAAATTTAATATTAAGGTTAAAAAAATAACTAAATTTGCTTTCCGCGGTTATCTCTCTTGAGGTTTCTTCGTTTCATCGTAAACGTCGTTGTCGTATACCTTCGTACCTCTTCGTAGACTTCGTGAACCATCGTAAGACGCTCGTAATGTTTCGTAATGCCTCGCAATGATTTCCACAGTCCTTTAAAAGCTCTAATGTTAAAGTCAGTAAAATGTGTTTGTGTTAACATCGATTTCTGCTGTCTAGAAAATCGTTAAATGGTTTCAGACTTTGTTACGCTTCTCAGGTGTTTCTAAAACTCGTGAAAATGAAATTTTGCTTTTCGTGACTCGTGAAATCTGAAAATGATCTTCGTGATTTCGTGACGAGACCCCCCTTGCCCCCCCCCCCTTTATAAAATGTAATTTTTTTCCGTACCTATAGTACTAACTAGACGTTAGAGGTTCTGTTGGTTTTTCGTACCCCCCCAAAAAATATCCTCCACACCCCCTAGTAAATACTTTATGACCGGTCCCTTATCATACAATATCAATTCTTATCAACGTTTGCGTTTAAAAATTGCAAACTAAAGTTGTACAATTTGTTATGCCTGAAACGATTTTCCAAGCTTTCTTACATGTATTTTAGTTTTATATTTTTTGCCTTCTTCACTCCTGGCAAACAGCCATATTTTGAGATCAGTGATGACCACCCACTCAACACCGTTGGTGAGTGCCCGTGATCATTGATGAACTTTAGACTTCGCTAGTGCTTTCGTTTCCCTGGGTGTAAATAGCCGGGGGGAATTAGTACCCTCACACGGTGCTTCGCGCCGTCGGCTCGGTGATAAACACCCCAAATATGGGTTTAAGGCTGACAAGGGGACCACTCCGAGTGTAAATATACGGCAAAAAGAAACTTTAGAGGTCCATAAATATAGAGTTGATGCTCGTTCATGACAATTCATCACACTCATCATTCCCCCACTCCCCGGCTACAAAGTTCCAAAAATTCAAATTTTTAACAGTTGGTTCCAGA